TCGGATTGACCTTCCCACACAGTGTCTATCTGGTGGTGGCCGTGTCGCGATGGGGGAGGGGCCAAGCCCGGGGCCGAAAGACCAGTGAGCGGAAAACGGCGGTTCTCCAGGTGGAAGACGCTGGGGGCCTGCACGGAGGAAGTGAGGGCACGGCAGGAGCGACCGCAGACGACCAGAAGCACGGAAGTAAACGGGCCCTGGGACTTGATGACTGCGGGGTGGGGCGGGGGGGGGCTGATGGCCACGTAAAGCGGTTGCTAAGATGGGAGACGCGGGAAGTGTGCAGGAAAGGTGCGGAGCTCGGTTTAGGACACAGATTGTTAAGATTTCTGTGGCACCCTAGTCAAAGATGCCCGGACCTCGGGCCAGGGCGGGGGCTGCGAGGGGACCAGACGGCATCCGGAGGGCGCACAGAGGGGAAGGCGCCCCAGGACAGCTCCCCAGGGGTCCCCACCCCACAACCGGACGACTGCTTACAGGCCACTTTTCGTCCAATGTACGCTGCGAGACGGGGAGGGGAGCTCACTGCTCTCGTCTTCCAGGTGAGAAAAAGGAGACTTTGGGCTGGGGCTGGTTCAGGGTCACCTTCCGGTGGGTCTCGACCTCGCGTCTCCCGGCCAATCCCGCCCCTACTCTCCCCTAACAGGATGGACCCTAAAAAGTAGCTCACATCCGATTGCCGAAACATAGTCTTTCTCAAAGTTTCCCTAGAGTGGATCCCATACGTGGAATTTTCATCTCGAATGCCTTTTGTTCTTTTTCTCCCAATCCTCATACAATGTGAAATGGTCAACTCTTCCCCTCCTAACAAATATCACCAGACACTACAAATATGTAAAGAACTACTAGTAAATAAATCGGAAAGAGGCAAACGTTGGAACCTATCTCCGCCCGCAAGCACACAACTTCTCGAAGTTCGCTGAGCTGCATAAATAAACCTTGACAGATTCCGGCTTTACGCCTATTAACTGGGCACGTCCATCCCGCGTCCTCCCGGCTCGAGGACGTGCCGAGTCGCGCCCCCCCCCCCCGCCCCCCCCCCGGGGCGCCCCCCCCGCCCCCGCCCCCGCCCCCGCCCCCGCCCCCCTCCGGCCGCACCACCTGCTCCCGGCGCCTCCCCCGCTCCTCCCGCTGGCCCGCCCGCGCCGGTTCTCACGCGCGAGCCGCGGCCCTCCCCGCCGCTCCCGTCCCTTTCACTTCCTCGGTGCTCCGGCTTCGGAGCCGGACCGCAGCGCGCCCGGCTTCCCAGCCCCGCCCGCACTCCCGCTTTTCCCCGCCCGCCCCGCGGCGCCGCGCCCCCCACGAAGCTCTCCCTCCCGCGCCGGCCCCCCGCGAGGCCTTCAGGGGCGGTCCCTGGCCGGCCGGCGCTGATTGGCCGTCTCCCCGGCGCCCCGCCCCCGTGCACGCGCAGGAGGTGGGGCGGGCCCA